TAAAAGGTTTTGGAAGCTCTGGGTCTAACACATCCTACTTCGCGAAGGTTGCGGGCGCCGAGGGCGAGGACTGGGACATCGAGAACGGCAACGAGTTCGACCTGTTGGACGATGTCATCTACGAAGGCTTGCTGAGTCGAGTGAAGGCGGGCGACTTTGACGCCGGCATGCTTGGACCTCCTTGTGGCACGTTCTCGAACGCCAGGAGAGAGGAAGACTTTGGACCACGGCCTCTTCGGCAATCTGATCCTGTTGGTGTCTACGGCAGGAAGGACCTGACTGTTGAGGAGGCGAAGTCGGTCAAGGAAGGCACCCCTTCTGGCTCTTCGGGCAGCTGAGGTTTTCAAAGTCTTCTACGACTTACGCAGGCCAGTCCTACTCGAACAGCCGAGCAAGCGATCCGGGGAGGATGCCGTCAGTATGTTCGACTTGCCTGAGTTGCAGCAGTTAGCTGGCCTGGATGGCGTCACCTTCGTGGAGATCGCTCAGTGTGCCTACGGGGCCCCGACGTCCAAGCCCACCACCTTGCTGAACTACAAGGTTGACCTTTCGGACGCGAAGCAAACATGTAACCACGCGCCTACTTGGTGGAGGCTGCCTTCTACTGGTGCTTGGCGCTGGAGTCCGCATCCACCCTTGAAAGGCAAGGAGTGGTGGATACCCGCAGATCGATGGCGAGCTCACATGCTGCTCTCTCCCGATGCGGGACAAATTCAGGAGTAAGCCCTTCCTCACTAGACAGGCCGCGGCGTACCCGGCGGAGATGAACCGGTACCTGGCCCTTAAGCTGTTGGCTGGCACTGAGGGCTCGGACGGCATCGTCAACGACATCGGCGACATGAAGCTGACGGGACTGTGGCGGAACGTCCTCGTACGCAGGAGATCGAGGTCGCGTTCGGCAACTTCTGGCGATCAGCTCAAGATACTTGGGGAGATCCAATGGAAGGATCCACTCAAGGGCCGCTTCTCTTGGAGGACTTAGGCATCCGCGACGGGCCATCACTTCGGTGCCCGGCTTACGCAAAGTCGGATTGAGTGTCTACCGGGTCGTCAGGGCATTCTTGGAGGAGCATCCGAAGGTGCGGAAGGATTGCATCGATGCCATAGGCAGCGATAGGCCAGATGCGGGGCCGTCACGCGAGGACATCCAGCTACTCAAGCAGATCCAACACAGGTCAGGTGTATGCATAGGACGACCCTTGCGCAGGTGTACATATAGGTCATATAGGGGTTTTTGAAGGAGCAAGCTGGCTCACGTGAAAACACTGGCAAGTTACTCATGCGTGCCACGCATGAAGCTTGCTATATATAGGGTT